TTTCCCTTTTTTTTGAAAATAACGACTCATGAATCTATGATTAAAGGTTGTAGGAGTAGAAGATCTTGATTCACAGTCGAAAGTTCAAGTCAAATCTCGGTATTGGAAATCATTACGCTTCGGTTCCGAGTGGGAATCGTACATATGAGGAGGCGGACCCCAAAAAGGGTCAAGACTGAAGACTCCATCGTTCTTTTTAGAGCAGGTTAAACGCATATATTGTCCGCAAGATGAGTTCTGAGTCGTCTCTGGAAACAACTCGCTCAATATGACTGACGCATGGAACATAAATCTGGAAATCAGGGGATACGGCTTCTTGTGGGAAATCTATAAGCATTTGGAGCAAGTAGTTGATACAAAAGCTTATAGGCCTGCAGATCCAGGTCCTCAGCTCAATGACTGCACCTGATTCTATGATGCAATGGAGCCTATTTCAAAAAGGAAGAACTCTAGTGAATAAAGTAACTAGTCAGCTACAAGTAGTTCGTCAGAAAGTGTCTCAAGTTATCTGTAAACATACCCATTATTCTTCTTTCTAACCCTCTCCATTCATGCTGTCAAACCGCTTCATCAATTTCTCGCGAGTTATTCTGCTTGAAACTTAATCCCTAGGGCCTAACTGAGTTCCAGGGCTGTTTTTAAGACTTACTGCTTCCCCTGTTCAAGGCCGGATCAGCAAAAATTATGATGGTCGTTGTGAAATAGGTTGTCTAATGGAGCTTTTCATACAAAAAAATGTATGAACATAAACAAATCAATAGGCCAATAAATAGACAATGAAGTTTTGACATCAGAGGTGACTGATGTTTTGAAGGAACTCTTCCGGAAGATACTTGCTCATTATTATGACGTGCTTTTTATCCAAACATATGGGACTCCAAAATAAGACCCAGTGGGAAATGGTAGCTGACTGAGGACAATCTTCAGTCCGTTCAGCGCCTTCTTGGATTTCGAGGAAACGGCTTTTTTGTCATGTACGACAGCTTCAAGGCACTTCAATGCCTACGATTGCACTCTCCTGGGTATATCCTACCTCAGAGCCTCCGAGATGAGTGCTCGCGCTACCTAGAAGCAGAATGGTATAATTTTCATGTTCTACCACTTGAACTCTCTTCACCAAGCGGTCTCCACGATCGGTGGAAAAAGGTTCAATTTCGCCCGATTTCCCACGGTCGCACTCACGCACGCGTCTCTGATTGTGATCTCATGCTTTCAAACTACAACTACCGTAATCACTAATCATTAAGAACGCTAAGAACTCCCATTCCTTCCAATTCCTTTTTATTTTTGATTATTTTTACTGTTTTTCTTCTCATCACCTGGAAAAAGCTAAGGGATGCTAACCCACGTGCCAACCTTATCCTAACTTCTCCAAATTCTACCAGTTGTG